TAAATTAGTCAGTTAATCCCTAACAAATTCAAAGTGGACCCATTTTAGTCCTTTTGAGGAACTAATATGGGTCTTTTTTGAATTTGTGAGGGACCACGATTTCAACTAAATGGGTCCACTTTGAATTTGTTAGGGAATAACTGACTAATTTATTTTTATAAGGAACTAAAGTGGGGACCGTGTTTTTTGTTAGGGACCAAAAATGGTATTTACTATTTTTTGTATCATTTGAATGAAAACAGATAATTGTTTAAATTGAAATAATTTTATCTAGCTTATCCTGAAAAATGTGTATAATATTGTAACAGGTACAACGTTGACCGACACATAATCATCATGGCCATAAATAAAAGCAAGGAAATGAGGATTTGGAATGGATCTGTGGTCATATATCCAACCAAAGGCAAGAGTAATACCATAAATAAAAAGTCAATATATCCAACCAAAGGCAAGAGTACTAATATCGATGGCTGAAAAAACAGAATATATTTTAAGATGGTTTAAGATGGCAAGAGTAATACCATAATTGAAAGATGCTCTTGTAAAAAAAAAGTTTGTTATCAATAACATCGTATAAAAAGATAAAAAAATTGATCGAAACTTATTTGGGAAAAATAATAAAGCAAGACTTAATATAATGAAAATTTTATTGTCATACAATTTGTTTTAGGAGGAAGTTGAGGAAAACTATGAATATTATATTTTTTTTATACAATTGAAAATTAAACACATAATTTAATACAATCTACCCAAATATTCTCTATTTTTTTTAGTATTATGGAGGGATAGAAACATTATTCCTATTATTATTATTATTTTTGCAGAAATAGAAACATTATTTTCAATGTTTCATACGGTTCATTTTAATTATTTTCTATATTTATTTTATTTATTTTTCCTCTGCTTGTTATTTGAAAATTAAAATAAATATGAGTTGATTTTAATGTTATATTAACTAAATGGAGTGAATAAAATAAATGTCAATTGAGTAAGGGAGTATTAGCAAATGATATGATGGTGACTTAGTTGTCCCATAAGAGCTGAGCAGGTGGAGGTGAGAGAATATATATTCGATCATTCCCAGTATTATTTATGATATGTGTTTAAAGTTTTAATCTTGAATTCGCCCCGAACAAATTATCTCCCGTAAAGGATACATATAATTTATAAAATATAAAAAAATAAGGGAGTACTTTTAAGGATAGGGACTTCATTTTATGGTTTATGATTACTACTAGTGTATTACTCGTGTGATGCACGAGAAAAAGGAAATCGATTTGTCTGTCTCGTAAAAATTAACGTAAATCGTAAAAGTATATCACTGTATTTTATGCAATTAAGGTAATGAATGGTATTTTGCATTACAACATTTAACTTCAACTATGAAGTGTTTGTTAGAATATTAAACGTATTAACTCAAATATTTGCCAACTCTACATGTACAAAAAAGTTGGAGTTAGGTATCTTATAGTGTTCGTTAGATAGTAACGGCCCTCCGGACCAAGCCCATTTTGCCGTCTCTAACTGGCAACATTTTATATCAGCATGGTTTGTCAGACAATAAATATAAGAGACGAAAAAAATGTGTTGACAGGCTAACCCATTTTATATCAGCATGTAATAAATGAAGAGTTGTCTCTAAATCAACTTTTATGAAATGTTTGTATTTTTGACATATATATTTGATGAAAAGTTGGCAAATATTTAAGTTATTACGTTTAATATTCTAACAAGCACTTAGCCGCGCAAAGACAGGTTTGTTAGACAAGTAAATATAAGAAGAAGAAAAATGTGTTGGCGGGCAGGGTGGATCAGCCCTCCGGGCCAAGACCCATTTGCTACCTCTAACTGTTAACATTTTATGTTACCATGTAAATTTTTTACATTTAAAAGTAATAAATTATACTTGATTTATATTTTAAGTCACATATAAAATAAAAATAAATAAATATAAATATAAGTGTAATTTTACTTTAGTTTTAAGTGTATATATTCAATTATTTGATTTTACTTTTCAAAGAATGGTCGGTATTACTCCACAATTCGATATCATGACTAATTCTTTTGATTGTAAGTGTAATAATAACACCGGTTAAAAATAAATAAATAAAACTCCTTCCATTTGTTTGTCTCGTAAAAGTTAACGCAAATCGTAAAAGTATATCGCTGCATTTTAGATTGTCTTATAGTCGTTCCGAAATTACGTAGTTTGACTCGGCTTCTTTCAGTATTGATCAGATATGAACTTTCATTTATCACAATCTGATTGTTCATTTTGATTAGATGCTTGTTTATGGAATATTTATAACACTAAATTCAATGATCTTAGTCACACAAAGACGGATTTGTTATAAAGTATATATATATATATATATATATATATATATATAATCGTGTTGGTGGGCTGAGCCCATTTTACCACCTCTAACCGTTAGCATTTTAAATCAGCATGTAATATGTTTTTATATTTATCTACAAAAAAAAGGTTCTAATAGTTGCGTCTATATTACTATCTATCTATATTTTTTTATAGATGCCTCTAAATCAATTCTTTGAAATGTGTGTATTTTTGACATATATATTAGATGAAGAGTTGAAAGATATTTAAGTTATAACGTTTAATGTTCTAACAAATACTTCATAGTTGGCAAGCTAAATAGCATTAAAATAATAATATACTGCAAAATATTGAATGATCATCCCTTTTAATTGAGTAATTAATAAGAATAAATAATTACTTTTTTGCTAGGATTTGTGGCCTTAGTATTTGGAACTTTACAAATTATTGTTTACAAAATTGAAATCAGATTTAGGAATTTAATTATAAAAGATAAAAAGTAAAATTTTAATTTAATTATAAAAACGTGTTGGCGGGCTGGCCCTTTAATAGTGTTGTAATCGTCTCATTTTGTAAAATTTAAAATTTTAATTTATTTTCTTTTATAATATGAATATGTCGTTTCTTATTTTTAAATTATTTTTTATCGACTATAAATATATTTTTATAATTTCGAATATTTTTTCATTTAATCTATAATTTTATATTAAATTTAAATTATTATATATATATAAATTATTATATATATATTTTTTCACACTGTAAAAATGTTAAACGCTGAACTCTTTTCTTACCTATCAAGTTCAAATTCAAATTTAAAAAGTTTGATTTTAAATATTAAATATTTTCTCACCCAATAAACATAAGAATAAACATTATTAACAGGCTTAACAATTTTTCATGCAGAAAGTAGTGGGAGACATTAAAATAGTCTGTAAAATACTTAATGGCAAATATCTTTTTACGGTGCAGAAGTTTGATGGTCATTGGTCACTTAACGGTCATTCATTTTTATAGTGATTAAGTTTTTATAATTTATTTTTTACAGAATGATAGAAGTCATTTTTTGATTTAATTTAAAAATTTGAATTCTTTTGTATTGATTATACATATTTTTTGAAAAATTAATTTTTATCTTTTAATTTATAATTTTTATATTATTTTTACACATATATTTAAAACGTTTATTTTAAATATTTTTTTTAAAAAAAACTTGTACGAATTCCTTCTCTCTTTATGTATTATGTTTTTAAGTTAAATTTTTAATTTATTTATAAATAAGTCATTCTTATTTTTTTGCAGTCAAATTTCAAATTTAAATTATTTTTTATCCACTCTACATATATTTTTATAATTTTACATATTTTTCATTTAATCTATAATTTTATATTATATTTAAATTTATTATATATATATATACATATTTTTTCCACTGCAGAAACATTAAATGCCGAACTCTTTTCATATCCATCAAGTTCAAAATTCAAATTTATATAGTCTGAATTTTAAATATTAATTATTTTCCCATCCAATGGACATTACAAACACTATTAATAGACTTAACAATTTTCCATGCACAAAGCATTGGGAAAAGCATTAAAATAGTCTGTAAAATACTTAATGGCTAACATCATTGGCATGCAAGTGTGAATAAAAAGCTGAAATTGAAGGAGAGTTTGACACATCAACTTTTTTTGTTCTCCTTTAAGATATTAAATATTTTTTCACGCAATAGACATAATAACAAACACTGTTAATAGCATAACAATTTTTTATGCAGCAAATAATAGAAAACATTAAAATAATTTATAAAATACTTAATAACTAACATTATTGACATATAAGTATGAACACAAAGCTAAAATTAAAAAAGAGCTTGATACGTCAACTTTTTTTATTCTCATTTAAGATATTAATAGATAACCTAAATCTCATTTTTTTTTCCTAGTAAATGAATACCTATTCTTATTATTAAATATCCATCTACACTTTTTCATCAATCTCAAAATAAAATTCTTACCAAACACCCTATAAAATTTCTCCCTTGAACGGAGAAGTTTGAAGACACAAAATTTCAGTGGAACACAAAATTTCAGTGGACCCACCACCACAAAAAACTTGAAAAAATTAATTAATGCAGCTCGAATTTCTATGGGTCTATAGCAGGAGACCATTCACCGGACAAATTTTAAACCCATTCTCGTAAGGAAAATATTACTTTCCTTTTAAATAAGATTACTTTTTTTCTACTCTCACTTCGATTTCTGCACCTCACCTTTTTTTTTTCTTGTAATGACGGGACTCACCCATTTTATCTCTACAACATAAGATACCTATCTTATGTTGAAGGAGAATAATAAAACCCTTCTCATAATACTAAAGACATGATTAGCAAATGCAACGACATAAATATCTTTTTATACAGAATTTATTAATCTCACGATAAAGAAGATAAGTTATCTCATGTCATAGAGATAAATTTTTAAGCTTCACCATCTGAAAAGTATAAAGAAAAAAAAAAATTGACATAATTATCGAAAAGTGTACGATAAAAAATTATCATATCTAACATAAAAGTAATTTTCCTCATTTATATATTGTATTGCTTTTTGCTTCCGGTTGTTATAAATTATATGATAACCCTTTTTCCTAAGTAGAGAGAGCCTTGTCTTCATCCATGGCTGTAGTTAAAAAACCCAGCGACAGGGACAGGCCTTCAAAGGTTTTCCTGCCAACTATTATCAGTTTCTTTCTCTTCCTCTCTAGTTTCCACTTCTTGTTTTATTTTAACTGTGCATTTCATTGTAAATATTCCTTACACGTTGCAGGGCAAGAGAGTTACGCTACCTAAAGCAAAGTTCTTTCGGAAAAAGACACTGGAACTCAACCCAGCTGATCCTCTAAAGCAAGTGAGCATCGCTATGCGCTTTAGTTAGTGTTAGAGAAATATAAAAAGTTAATGTTAAAAAAATATAAAATCATGACTGTATCTTTACCCTACGGCTTAAATTTTTTGTGTTGTATTGATTTTTTACACGATGTCACAAGTTAAATTGTTACCGCCTCCGTTCTCTTAATAAAAATAATTAATTATTATGGACTTTTTTAACATAGATAGACTAGACCTAATGCATCATTTGCCCAAGAACTCTCATTTGAGAGGACGTGTTAAAGAAATATAAAATTATTATTCAATAACTTAAGCTTTTGTGTTAAATTAGTTCTTTACTTTTACTTTCTTTCCTATTCTCTGTTGTCTTTGTCCCTTGGGTTGTAACGTGGTGTTGGATCCATTTGCTATGGTTGGAGTAACTTAGCCCATTGGTGGTGGTTCTCAGCCACGGGCTTCCCCTGGACCCTTTGACAATATCTATATCACATTGTCAGGGGCGTTTAGTAGAGGAGATATTTTTTTTACTGGGGAAATAGTAAGAAAGTGAGTTTGATAGAAAAGTTAAAAAAAACATGTTTGGTTCACCAAAATATTACCGGAAAAATTTATGTAAATTTGCAATGTCTATATTTGGTTGAAGGTAAAATAGTGATGGAAAAATAGGTTGAATTGACCAAAATACTCCCGTTGTAAAAAACAATTGAAGTCCCTCACTTTCACGGTCATTTCGATCCTGAAGTTGGCACCCCTTTTTCCAATTCTCCTACTATCCTAAAATACCACATCTGAAGTGGTATTTTAGAATAGTTAATTTCATCCAAAAAAACAACTATGAAGTCGTTGCCCATGCTTCCTATTTGCATGGTTTTTTTTTTTTTCCAAAATTTAAACCAAACGTGGTCAAATTCAATTGCCACCCACACTTCCCCATCGAACCCAAACAAAAACCTATACCAAACACACCCTGAATTGCCAATGGCAGAGTCAGACCAACTTTTGGAGGGGTGACTTATAATATAATATTTTTGTTTAAATTTACAATTATTTTACGAGGGATATATATTTTTGTATGTCTACCTGCATATTTTCAATACCTTTAAATCAGAATCTTAACTAATTTTTATTCTCTCTCTCCTTTTTGAGATTTTGATCTAACAGTTTTGAAATTAAGTAGGAGGAGTATGCATACAAAAAATAGGCATAATATTTTATCCTTAAATTTAAAAGTGTATTCTATGTTTAACTGAGCTTTGTACTTCCTCTGTACTCGAGATTGTGATATAAAATTATTAAAGAGTAATAGATAAAATAGGTATGAAAATAAGAATAATATCCTTTCCGTGAAATATATGATCAAAACATCAGAAATAATGCCCAATTCTAAAGACATGTATAAATAGCTCCTCCACATGTGATTGCCAACAAAGAAAGGGTTAACGGGTTTGTAACCATAGGCTAATACTCAGATAAGAAATTTCATATTTTGAAATGTGACTGGCTGGCAGCTTATAATCAAGACCATGATGATTGGAATTTGTATATTTTAGATAGTCCTCATGATGGAGTTAGACCTCTCCTTAATGGAGACGTTATGGGCGTTAGCAGGCCGAGAGTCTGTAGTTAGTTTTTGTGTGTTTTGTTTCTTTCCTTTGCTTTCAAAAAGAAAAAAATGTGACTGATATAAAGTTTAGCATCTTCTAGGAATGAGCATAGTCTAACATATAACTAAAAGAAAAAGCCATAAACTCAAGTTCACTTATTTGGTGATTGTCGCTTAGCTTATTGCCATTGATGGTGACTTCCCCAAGCCCCCCTTGACAGTTGTGGATAAAAATGTAATAATTTTATTATCCTATTATGAGGATTCTCTGTAAGAGAAAAGGAACCTTTTTAGAAACAGAGTATATAATATTGTTCATTTAACATCTAACTTGTTTTTTGTGTACCTCGTTTGTTTGAATCTTGAACAGACTATCAGTCGTAATCCACAAAGAAGGTGAGTTAATTTTCTTGCTTTCCTATTTGGTCCCCTAACGGATGGTAGAAGAAGATGACACCTCGTTTTTACTTGTGCTATGCATAGACCAAAGAGAGGGAGCGTTGATAGTGTATGTAATACTTCTGAAGCTCAGTTTACTGCTTACCTACGTGCAAAAGAGGTTCAGGCTAACCTATCTCCTGAATATCCAAGCCTTCTTAAGTGCATGCTTCGGTCTCATGTAACAGGGGGATTTTGGCTAGTAAATCTCATTTTCTTGATGCCTTTGCATTTTCAGATTAATACTAGGATGATTTATATTCATCATATTATTTAATATTTTAATGCTAGGGTCTTCCTAAAAAATTCTGTCAGTTGCATTTGCCTAAGGCTGATACTATTATTGCTTTGGAAGATGAAAATGGGGAACTATATGAAACCAAATATCTTGCTCAAAAGGTGGGCCTAAGTGGTGGATGGAGGGGGTTTTCCTTAGCTCATAACTTACTCGAGATGGATGTTCTAATATTCCACTTGGTCCAGCCTTCCAAATTTAAGGTGATTGTTTGATGACTTGATCTTTCAAAGAAAATTCATGTGTTAAGGTTTGTTTCAATACATTTTATGATTTCCTTGTATGCAAGTGTTTCAAGTTGAAGGGAGTAATTGTAAGATTTGAGGTATTAAGTAGGTTAGAATATGGTAGGAATTGATTATCAGTGACAATATCAAGATAAATTTTTACCACTTTTGTCTTTTGTTTTGATGAAAAGTTTTGAAGTATAGAAGAAGCTATAATTTATTTTGAAGTCAACAAATTCGAAATGAAAAGGAGCAACAGTTTCTTAATTCTCACTTTTTTGCAAGAATGCTTGGTTAGTTTTTTTTTTTTTTTTTTTTTTTGTGGTAATGGCTTGGTTAGGGATTTTAATTTGAAGGAAAAAAAATACGTCGTAGCTGCTGCTAAGTTATACTTGTTTTCGAAGTTGTGATCTTGAATATCTTACATGTCCACAGGTGTACATCATAAGATCTCAGGGGTCTGATGAAATGGATGGTGCTCTTGGCCTTCTTAAGTTAGATGACTGCAGAAAAGAAAAGGACGAAGTGGATGGTGCTCTCGGTAAGTGTGGTATGGTTCTCATTGTTTTATAATGCAAATCAAGTAGGATATTAATTGGGACTTGTAAAAGAGCAGAAAATTATATTTGCTGTCACATTTTTCAGACGCTACTCAAGGAAATGACTCAAATAATAGCGGGATGATTTTTGGTGCTCACGTATCTCAATCTGATCAGCTTGAAAATACTAGTAAAGATTTTTGCTCACAAGTTTGGGATGGAATTAGATTTTCAGAATCTGTTATCAGTTTTGAAGAAGTTACTGGTAGCGAGAAATTCAGCATTGTGGTGAATGGTTTGGTTATTGATTCAGAGCTCTCCATGTACCTTCGGACCAAGTATTACGAGCTCTGTTGCAGCCAGAGATCGTTTCTTCATGACCATCTTCTTGGGGGTCTTAACTCTAAACTGGTGGCTGGAATAATTTCTGAGACTATTAATATTGCTGATGCCATTAAAGCCACTAAGCTTACAACCTCTCCAGAGAGTTTTTTAACATGGGACAAGACTCTGAAAGCCTTTGAGGCCATGGGCATGAATGTCAGCTTCTTGCTTATTCGGCTACACCAGCTTATGAAACTAGCTTTGAAATCAGAGAGGTACAAAGAGTCAAGACTTGAACGAGACCATGCTAAAGTGGACTTGAAAGCTCTAGAGGAAAAACTTGTGCAAGTAAAACAGACAATAAATAGACTTGATGAAGAGATTGGCATACAAGATATGAACCCTGAGAGCCTCGAAACTACGTTTCAAAAACTGGCTAGTGCTCCTTGGTGATGTCCTTGTACATTGCCGCTTTTCAGCTTCGGCTTTATTTTTGGCCAAAGAAATAGTTTGGGTGTACCGAGCTTTTGTGTAAAACTAACGTTGTTGTTTCGGTAAAACCTCACAATCGTTTTGTTTCTTTCGTGAATCTCCAGTGGCACGGCAATGGTATTAGTTCTAACTATCATATAAAATTATTTTGTTACGTATGTGATACAGTGCTGTGCTGTAGATGACAATTAAGATGCCACACGTGATTATTTTATGGAATGGGATATATTGTTTCTCTGTATGAAGCATTCTATAAATATGAGACTAATTTTTGGAAAGAAATTGATTCACAGAAAGTTGATTCATAACTTTTATATTATATGGATATAGATATATTTTAATTTTCACAAATTGATATAATAATCCATATGAGTATTGATATAGAAAGTGCATAGAAAAAATTGGCTAAATAGGAAATTAGGATTTTAAAAAAGAGTAATATTTTAATTTTTAATTTTTATTAATAATTTTTTTTTTGGTAAGCTATTTTTATTAATAAAATTTAACTCCTACAATGAAGGTCATGAACATTTTTTTATATATTAATTACAAATTGATTCAAAAATTCAAATAAAAAAATCCTAAAAATAATAAAAAACTCAAGAATAAATATAACAGTAATTAAATTCAGAAATTAAACAAATAATTACAAATAAATTCTTCAAAACACGTCCCAAATTTTAGATATCAAATCATGTAAAATGTGTTATTTTTTTTCTTGCTAAACAAATCACAATCATATCTGATACTTATTCGGACTTGGATTTGATTATAATCTGTTATATTTCAAATTACTACTTCTTTTAATAATTAGGCTATATTTATTGAGCTACAATTCTGATTAACTTCGGATTTTTTGAAATAATGGTTGAATCATGTGTAATATGTCTAAGTCTATAAGAATTTTGCAGATTAAAAAAAAAAAGTAAACTGTCCTGGGTACATATGAATTAGGGGTGTTCGCAGTTTGGATTGCATCAGATCGGTTTTGGAAGCAAAAATCATCGATCCAATTCCTTCGGTTTGATCGTGTAATCATCTATTCAGTTTGAATTTTTTTTTTCAAATCTGATCCATTCCAATTTTTTTTGGTTTGGATTGGATCGGTTTTCAATTTTTTGAAAATATTAAAATTTGTTTCATGATTATTGTGCAAATAACATCTTTTGTATATATTGGCTTTGTAATTTTTTATTTTTTTTTGAAATACAAAAGCATAAGTAAACGATAATATAGATTTTTTTTTGGACAATGAGATATGAAGCTTTATATATGACTAGGTTTTTTCTTGGGTTTAGTTGATGAGTTAATGAGTCTTGAATTTAGAAATTTTTGGGCTATGATAGGGGAAATGCCTGAGTAGGTAGAGGGGAGTTAATATATTAGATCGATTTGGATTGGATCGGTTTTCATCAACCAATCTGAAAATCGATCCAATCCAATTAAAATTTGCAGTCTTTTTTTTCGATTTTTCGATTTTTGATTTATTCGATTATCAATTTTTCAGTTCGATCACCGCGATTTCAGTGATGAAACCGGTTGTATCTGTCACATGGGGTTGGTGAGTCGCAACCTACTCTGACTAATTTCAGGTAACTCGTAACAACTATTTGATTGGAGAATGCCACATAGCACAATTCCTCTCAAAACTGTACTGCGAAATGATTCTTTTTTCTTTTCTCAAGTTTAGTTTTATTCTATTCAAGTGCATACATTTTTTTAAAGACCTTTTAAATAATGTTTTAACTATCAGAAGAAAATTTATTGACCGAGCAATAGATAAAACAGAGAAAAAAAAAATCCATACACATCCCCCTCAAACTTGATATTTTTTGCAAGCCACCGTCAACTTTTATTTATATTTATTAAGCCCTTGAACTTGATAAATTCTTGTAATTTTTCCTTTTTTTTCACGGGGTGGCTCTTCAACACCATTTTTAAAAACAAATTTTTTGTCACTTGAACGAATGGTTATGGGTACTCTTCATATTACTTTTTAAGTTGATTATTTATCCTGTGTTGTGATTCATCTTGGTGCCTAATGGAGCACTGCGAACTTAATTGGGAAGTTGCTAAACCTTCCACAAAGAAAAATTGAAAGATAGAAAATCTGTGTTATATGCGGAATGAAATATAATTAAAGCCAGGTGAACACTAGAGAACTTGCTTAGAAGAAATAGAAGGGGAAAATACTTGGCAAGCCACTGGGAAAACCAACTGGTCACTACATACCAAATAAAAAGCACAACTACAAATATTTCTACAAAGATAAATGGTGGCAAATATATTTCTTCGCTTGGCAAATGGGTTTAAGACAATTGGTTGTGTAGGGGTCAGACTTAGGAATTATGCAGAAAAGGGAAGGGGAAAAGAAATAGAAGAGATTGAGAGAATTGATCATAATTCATTGTTGGAATAACATTTGTCATTTTAAAGGATGTAAACTTATATAATTTTAGATCCTAATCGTTGATTTTTGTCCATCAACGATTATAGTTTATTGGATCAAAATTATTAATTAATTAATAATAAATTTGGCCCATTAAATTTGACCCAATAGATTATAACCGTTGATGAACGAAAATCAACGGTTAGGATCTAAAATGATATAAGATTATATCTTTTAAAGGATATATGTTTTTCCCGTCATTGTTTTCTAAATCTAAGTACATCCTTGTTTTAAATAAGCGTACCTACCAGGAATTTGGAACTAAGATAAAGATAACTAAAATAAAAGGCTAGTCATACGATTATCAAAATGTTAATATTTTAAGGGATTAATATTTGTCATTTTAAAAATCATAAAATTATATTATTTTAATCAAAACGAGTTACGACTGTTTTATAAGAGAAACATAAATCATGGTAAAAAAAAATGAGAGATTTTTTTAATTTAAATATTAAATAAATAATAATAATTTTAATTAAAATAACTGCTATTTAAAAAGAAAAATATTTTTCTCTTCAAAAAAGTATTTAATTTAATTGTGCTCATGTGATCCATTTGAGAGGGCTGCCGCAGGACTAATATTTCCCTAATGCAAGAAATGTTTGGGCTTTTTTTCATTGCGTTTGGTCTTATCTTATATATATATATTTTTTTATCTTTCCAATTTTTTTAAAGAATTGAAATAATAATTTATTTTTAATCTTACTTTTTTTTTTGGTAAACATTTTTAATCTTATTTTAATAGATAAGGAGTAAATATACATATGTTAAAAATGATTAATTATATATATGGTTAAAGCTTAGGTAAATTATTTAAATAATTTGGTAAATAAAAGATGATTTTTTTTTTTAATTTTTAAAAATTTAACTCCGCCTGTGTATATTTGCTGGTTCCCCGATTGGCTTGTTGGTTTGGAGAGTTTATCTTCAATCCTCAAGTGTTTGGTTCGAACCCAGCATTCAGAGAGCCTATCCAAGCTAGGATAAAGGATGAGATTTAGCATAAGTGTAACAAGCAGCCGTAAAAGAAAATAATTATATTTATGAGATGAATCCTTAAAAAAAATTTTGTAAATTTATCCGTTGCTAACTGTGCATGAGCTGAGTGTCTTGGAGCGCTTGGATTTGCATGGAGTGTTCATCAACCATTTGTGGTTGTAGGATTTGGTTTTGGTGATCGCACAGACGTGTGTTCCGTGCCATGAGAGATAGTTGCTGATAAAAGCACCAAATGTAGGGGCAAGATTTAGAAATTATGCAGTAAGAGAATTGATTGGTATTCTTTGCCCTGTGAATTTGATTCCATCCTGGTTTTAAATGAGCCTACTATTAGGTATTTAATTTGAAACTAACTAAATTAATGTAGAAGAAAAAGATAACTAAAATAAAAGCTTAATTCTAGTGATACGATAATCAAAATACTAATAACTAACAAAGAGATAAAGATAACATTTTCCAAAAAATATATAATTTAAGATGTGCTTATATATAATCCACTTGAGAGGGATGCATGCTGCTAGACTCATTTCCCTAATCCAAAGGACATTTGAGCTTTCTTTTATTGCGTTTGGGCCTGATAGTGATAGGTATTGCGTTGCGTTGGCTGTGTGATTCAATGGAGCGTAATGTGGGGGGCGCACCACAGGTTGCATCACACTTCAGCGCTTGTTGCTGGTCACTTATTTTGTGACACTCTCAGGTCTCCCATATTAATGAAATGACACAATCAGGGTGGAAATAGATAAAAAAAAAAAAAAAAAATTGTTGACCCATTACAATCGAATGATGAAAATTGTACAGACATATGATAATATTAATGTGTGTGAAAATGAACGTAGATAGTAATATTCTAATATCACAAACACACTGTGCTCGAGACTAATTTCAGTTTGACTAAAACGGTTTACTACTTGTAAGTCAAGAAGCATATTGGTATGGTATATATAATTTTGCAACAACATGCTGTTGTGCTGGAAAAGTTCTGCAGATAACAGTGCAATTCTATGAGCAATTCTTAACAGAAACGATGATATTGCAGCAGAAGACCTATTAGAAAACGATGGCATAAAAGGCTAATTTCATTGATCAGAATATGTGATGTCCATAGAATTGCAGCAAAAGATCATATTGTTGACTCAAGAGTAGAACCAGTCGGAAGGATTGCGTGCCACCTCTATACACAGAAAATACTGAAGCTAAGTGCTCCAAAATCTTTTATTTGGAAACAAGAGTTAAGGTAGGTCTTTACTGCCTGACATGCCAGCACTATATATGTTGTCAAGAAGGGCAACAAAAACTGCATCCCGTTTCGATTTAAATAATATGTAGTCGGGTCTGGATTGAGTAAAGCCGTAGGACTCCAAGGAGAAACTTAACTTTCCAAACGACAGAGGCCATAAAGAGACGTCTTCAGGGGACACACCTTGGTAGAGTTCCCTTGAGCAAATTCCGGAGGAAGAAGCATATAGACTTCTTCTTCATGTACTTGTAAATCACCAGAGACCATTTGCCTTATTGATATCGATCGAGTCATTTGTTTAATTGCAATGGCAACTGACAAAAACGTTCCAACACTGACCAGAGGATTGATTGTGCTAAGAAGAGGAGTGATTAGGTGTATGTGTATCAACGTTATTGCAAGCAAAGCCAAGACCACGAATATAATTCTAGTACAATATATGATCTTATCATCTCTAATAAGACCAGAGAAAGGAAGTAAAGAGCCTCCTAGAGTTGAGAGTAAAATGTAAAGCTGTAGCTGGGAATGGGAGGGACCATATGCTGGAATGGAAGCTGCACAAACGGAAGAAGGAGGACCACATCCTGGGAAAAAGGCTAAGGGGTTGCAGAGTGAAAGGCAGTGAAGAGAAGGCAAGGTTATGACGGTTAGATGGCAATTGCAGCATTCATCTTTGGACATAAAATTTCCCACAATGCAGAAGCAAACCATTCTTCTGTTCAAATGCCGCTTTCAGGACAAAATCACAGTAAACGCAACAAAAAGTGTATTTTCCTAAACACTACTCGAGCATGAAAGCCCATTTGAATGGGCAGATCTCGCATTCGTGTTCAGGTAAACATGCACTAAAATATCTACTTTCTGCGGAATGGTATTTAAACTTTTATCATTTTTATTATAGACTCATGCTCATCTCGTGAAGACGTACGTAACATAATATTAATATTTCAATTTTGAATACATCTAATTGATTTTTCAAAAATATGCTTCTTACATTTTTGTGGCTTTTTCACCCTTTTACCCCTTATTAATTAATTAATAACCATTTTGCCCTTGATTCGAAACTATCTACCAATCTGCCCCTCTTTAATCGACTACCTTGCATTTTTAATCGACTAAACGGTTGTTGGGAGATTTAATCGACTAAATCTCTCTACTTAATCGATTAAAATCATACTGACTTATTTTTTTTTTTGTAAAATATGAAGATTTAGTCGACTAAATAGGGATCTCCCAGCAGCCATTTTTTGTCTGTTTTGGCCATTTAGTCGATTAAAAATGCAAGGTAGTCGACTAAAGAGGGGCAGATTGATAAATAGTTTCGAATCAGGGGCAAAATAGTTATTAATTAATTAATAAGAGGTAAAAGGGTGAAAAAACCCATTTTTGTCATGTAATTAATTCTTAAAATGACAAGAAATTATTTTTTAAAAGACAAAACGTATAACATTATTATTAATCATAAAAAATTGTAAACACCGTTATATCCCATCAGCTTCTGTAAACAATATGATGTCGTTTATTTCCAAAATAATAGAATGTAAATACATCAAACCTACGTGACAACATATGTAGTACTCAATCATCGTCATTGATATTAGCAGGACATGATCTTTTCTGTGGTAATAATTTATTTACAAGAGAATAGTCGGTCTCAAATGCTACATTCATTGAGTTATTTTTTATAATTCTGACAGAATTTAGTGCTTCCTTCGTCCAAGCATTGGGAGAGGAAGATAACGCACTAGTAACACCAGAAGCATTTGCAGATCGCAGGGGTAGTTTATTATGTAAAGAAAAAGGAGCAGATTTTTGTTTGATGTTCTGCCCTGACTTGAGTAATTCATTATTTGGTTCCTTTTGCTGTAGCTTTGGACTGATGACGGAATCAATCGGTACCAGCTTTCCGTTAACTTGGTTTGTGAAGACAAAGGTCACCTGAAAAACATAGAGAAGCAAATGCAATCAATTTTGTTACTGTCAATTATTGTGCAAGGACTTACGGAATAAACCTGCAAATCAAGTATAATAATGGGCCTATTGCGTATTTAGGTTTCAACATGTTTAACTTCAAAGTGAAGCAAAGCTAACTACAGGTAAATAAATGTCATATTCAACCAGTATTAACATTTCATAAAGTTTGCAATAATCTTGCCATAAAAGGCATCCCGTTCCTTGTAAATAGAAGAGGTACCAATATGAAGAAAACTTTCAAAACTTTCAAGATAAACATGGAGATGGCTTGTTTATCTTCATGTTTCTACTTTCTCATTTTAAGCGAAAATACAAAACAAGGCATACATGAGAACGGCATGCAAAAGTTTCGATCTCTAAATGTATGACTACCACTGCATTCAATCTATCATATTTCAAACTTACTGAGTTTTATGTAATTTCTAGCATAGGGATAAGGAATGCAAGAATGCCAGCAGTAGTATAGAGCATAACATAGATCTGTTAATTATGCTTTAAATAGGATTTTATGGCACACCTCGTCACCGGCTGAAGCCCGAAGGATAGCATCAGGTACGGAAGTTGGGAAAAAATGATGGCCCCAACTACCTAAATCTTCTTCCAATGGGGTCCCTACCTGCAAAAAGAAAATGTTCAGAATCAAAACTAGAATTATTTGTTCTTTGTATCCCCTTGAATCAAGAGTTAAGACAAACGGTAGAGCTTGTCAGAGGTAGATGAAACAGGAAGGAAGAATGGAACCAAAGACCTCCTCCACCCAAAAGAGGAGGCCTTGTACAATTTGAACTGCATGCAAGCAACCTGCTTTTCTGATGTTTTTAAATTCTCTAAGCAACCTGCAATTTCTGCAAATCCACCTATATCAGAGGTTTCCTCATCAGATTCACTGTAAATTTTTGTTGATTGGGCTACATATTTCTCGTCAGTGCTTTGAGGTCCATCATATGTTTGACACCGAGCACATTGCATCTTTTCATGAATCTCTGACCTAAAAATATATAATAAAGCAGACATTAGACTGAGAATTAAGTAAAGATCACAACTCCATGTTCTAGTAGACAGTACGTAAGAATTGGGGTGTCATTTCTTTTTACTGTTACACATCATCAATATATTACAATTACACCATGAGCAAATTTTTCTAAGATTATTTTATGTCTGTTTTCAAAAGATGATTCGATGACCAACTCCATTAATTAACTAATTGAATGGTAGAGAAAACAGAAGAAAAACAAATTCAAATCGATCTTCTCATGGAAATAGCATAAGAGAACCTACAACTTACCCAACAGAAGACCAACTTTAGGGTTTGTATATGACATCATCATAATGATTTGAAATCCTACTTTTAGGGTTTCTATTATATCCCACCCTTATTCGTATCCTCTGTTTTCACACTAGTCGTTGTCGTTTTCCTCGCTTGCGTCTATCTTTGTTCATCAAATTCAATGATTTCAAAAACCTTGAGATTTTGAGGATCCAATATCATAATTAGAATTAGAATTGCTCGATGTAGTCATCATTCAATATCATCAGAATCTCGACAGTTTCGCCACAAAATTTAGTGTACTATTAATTAAATATGTTCTCTCTTTCCTTCTTTCCATTAAATTCTAGGTACCATATGCATACTAATCTTTTGCACATTTGTACGGTAACGCCCTGAGTAAATATAGATCAAAAGAGAAAGGAATGCATTACTTGACATTCTCATTAAAAGTGAACAAATTGCGGAGATCCTCTGTCGAAAGAAAGTTACCCTGAAAATCATAAAAAATATTACAGTATGAATAGGATTGTAAGGCATGGAATAAGCAGCATCAACTAGAACACATGATAGAAGTAGTAATTTCGACCTGTGCCACAAGGCTATCGGTTTGCTCCTGCTGAATGACCTTTTGCAGCCCTTCTTTTGACATCTGACGCTGGTAGACCTACACATGAACGGTTCAGTGAGGGGAAAATATAAACAGAAATAGCTCAATAAAGCATAAGATACATTTGTGTTCAATTATCACAACAATACAAACCTTTTCTTCTATTGTTCCGGCACTCAAAAATCTGTAAATGTAAACTCTTTTCTTCTGTCCATCCCTCCAAACTCTTGCTGCAGCCTGTTTATGGGCAAGGAAAAGTAGCAAACGAAAGAGCAGAATTATGTAAGATAGAGAGGGAAAAAGAAGGCTTGCATATAAAGATTTCAGTTGTTACTACTAAACCCTGGGTATTACTTGTTTATCATTTGCTGGATTCCAGTCAGGATCAAACAAGACAAGTCGATTTCCACCAATCAAATTGAGTCCACAACCACCAGCCTTGCTGCTTAATAAAAAAACAAATTCATCCTGAAATATGCCAATTGTTTTTATCAATGGACAATTGCATAGGATGTTCAATGATATTTCAAAGGAGGAGAAGAAACCAAATACTGGAACTTGGAGGTTCAATTATAAATTGGTAACCAATTTACCTTAGATAGGTCATTAAAACAGTTGACCAACTTCTGCCTTTTACTGATTGATGTAGTTCCATCAAGTCTCAAGTGAGGATACCTTCGTTCCCGACACAATTGAGAAAAAAGATCAAGAGTCTGTTACATGAGAGATAGTTTAGAATGGCAAAAGAGAACTAGAAGGGTAACACAAGGTAGCATGAAAGATTCAATTAGCCAAGGAGAAGATTGAGAAAGGTGAATAAACATCTCTCATTGCAAGATTGTGAACTTGAACCCATATATACCCGACAGATAAATAGGATTGTTACCGTTAGGATTTAATATTCTAGTTACTGTACTTTTAGCTTACTTAGCTATTCTTTTTGTATAGAATTTTTTTAACTGTAAAAGCTTGCTCAGAAAGCTCTCTCTTTGTCTAATAAAACCAGAGAACAGTCACAGAATGTCCCACACTCCATTTTCCTTCCTTGGGTTTATCTTCTTTTTTCCTCTGATAACATGGTACCAGAGCTTGGAGAGATAAACGATACTGTCCTACATGCTTGGCCCACTGCAGCAGCAACCAAATCCTATTTTTCCTTCGTAATTCACTGCCACTGGTGAACATCCTTGGCTGTGTCTCTTACCAGCCTTCGTAACTTAGTATCTCAGCCTGCACCAGCTTTTTGATTCAACTCAGAATCTTCTGAATTAAAAACTCAGGAGCCGCGCAACCAACCGGATTTTTATTGAGATAAAAAGAAATGATGGCATTGCAATAATATAAGGAGCAAATGGATTTTGTGAAGGACAATGACTGAAAAAACTGATTTATTGAAACATTTGAATCATACTGAATAACTAAAAGATGAAATAACATGCTTTTTAAGTAAAACTTCTTTCATTGTCTTTAGAACTTACAACGGATTACCATCAACGGGATTTCAATTTTCAAATAAGGGTGACAGTATCGACACTTAATGCAATCTAGATTCTTTCATGTTGAAAAGATATATTTTATATCTGTCGAGTTAGAGAAAAAAGAGAGGCATAACTTTTGTATGAACTGTGTCTCAACTACACCACAGAGAACTTACTTAATATATATTAATCTGACAATAAGTATATGAATCCTCCTGGTAACGTCAATTACAAGATATGTTCAAACTAATGCATGTCCAATGTTCAAACTAATACATGTTTCCAACAATATCCATGCAGCAAGTGGACAAAGATATGTGATATATAAAGGATGTGATATTGCTGGTTTATTATCCATAATATCTCCAGAAGATAACTAGAGAATAGACTCATGTGCCATCCCACAAAGAGGGTGCATGAACTTCTACACAACAGTTTAAAATCAGTTTCTCTATGTGAGATTGTTGGCAGTAATAATATAAGCCTTGTGAGGTTCATTATCTGGAAAAAGTATTATATGTAGGATGCGACCTGCTGAATTGACCGCAAAAAACTACATAAAATTGTTTATTTCACAAAAATTAATAAATCATTTAATACAAGAATGATCTCAATTCATTCTAAACAGTCACATTAGTCAGCTACAACTACTATTTAAAGAGTACCTCAACGCAACTTTTCATTTTTTACCACATACCTGAGTATAATTTGAGACAAGGACAATACGATCATTTGTTCTCTGACGCAATTGAGCAAGTAATCTTGCTAAGACATGCATTTTCCCGGACAGCTCAACCCACGCTCCATGCCCTCCTGTCCATGAGCCAGACCTACAAAGAATACCCCCATGGGATGACTAAATTTAGACACCAAATGCATAACTGAAACTTAAACTTAAATATCTACCTTCCAGATAACATTTCCGGAGGGAAGAATCGAATGCAGTCCTCAAAACCTGAAGTTCCTGGACTCCCACTTCGAATGTTATCATAGATGAGCTACAAAACACTATCTTCTGTTAGGATGAAAGTATGTCCGGAACTTACCAAACATGAAAGGAGAAGATAGGTTTCCTTCATAATTTAATAGAGGATCTAAGGTTAAGAGAAGGTCATCAATGAAAATAAAAGAGTCTACTTGCCAATTCAAATAGCTTCACAATTTATTATTAAGAATGTATGAGGAAATAATCAACCAAGTATATAGTTTACAAAAGTGAATGTTTTCCAAAAAAACTATTAGGATAAGAGGAATTAAACAGCCTCTCCTTCCAAGGGAAAAAAAGATCCAAATCATACCTTCGGATGATTGCACAACTTTTTGAGAGCTGATATATGGGCCAAAATCTTTGATTGCTTCAGTTCTGCAGTAAATGCCTGTTTAACCTGTGTTTGACGATGCAGATTAATCAATTCTGGTCTGATAATCTAGTTTTTGTCAATATCCAACAATTTAAGCACGTTATGAAAATATGTTTGCTCAATCAAAACTGGACTTTACATTTTTGGATTGTATAAAATGTTTATAGAGGTCAGACTGTAGTGGAGTCAACTTGCAGCAAACAACTTCAACTATCTGTACCACAAAAAAAAGGTCATGGATATAAGATTACTATTTAAGAGCCAAAACTAATAACCAATTGTCTACATAGTTCCTTTCCATGTGCTTCGAGGAATTAGGCTTCAGTCAATTTCATATATAACATTTAAAATATGTCCAAATATTTCAATAATCAACAAGTATTTAAATCTACCTTCTCGTGCATTACCAAATTCTAAAGATTTCTTGATATGTAAAAACAATTTTACTTAATCTGGCTGCTGGGAATCAACAAACACCTACAATTCATGTAATTCCCACATCTTTAAGGAGATTTCTTTGGATGAGAAGCTTCTTTGGGATTAAATTTGGGCGTTTGTCTTTTAGTAAAGCAAATGGTCTTTTTACAGGGTTTTCTCATGCATATATGTTAAGGGATTTGGTAACTTTGCTTCATTGATGTTTTCTTTGTTCCCTATTGTTTGTTTTCTCTTTCTTTTCTGAAGAGGATCTCTTATCCTCCTAATCATTTGTAATCATCTTCTCTTTGTCTTAATAAGTTTCTTCTTCTATCATATATATATACAAAAAAATACAGTTCTAATTAAATAAGGAAAGAGAATTAATTTGTCAAGAACACTACAAATGAAAATTCGCGAGAAAGAAAAGATTGCATGAAAAGAACAATACCTTTGGTGGCAAGTGATTCGATAATAATGCATTAGTCCTTCTTAATATGAACTGAAAAAGAATACTGGTCGGTTAATTTTCAGGAAAACAGAAGCACAGAAGTAAATTTTCTTATCAGAACGAAAAGAAACCAGTTGGTCTTCATTAGCATTCAGCAATCAGTTCTATGTAATACCTTATTCTAGTTATCAAGCAGGTTAACAATTTCAATGACTACTGATGGATAATAATACAGCTCTCTAAGGAACAGAGAGGAGTCCAATTCACATGCAGAGGCCAAGAAAAAATATTACCCGATTAACTTGGGCACTTAATTCTGCAGTGCGTTCAGCACCAAGCTTCTTCTCTTCTGCTGTGGCAGCAGGTTCTCTTCCACAAATAATCGGTGCCTTCATGATGCAAGTTGGCCACAGTTAAATAAAACCAGAAACACAAAAGAGCGGGAAAAACCAATTCCAGAATCACATCTCCCGAGAACTTTCTGAAGTTGGTTTGTCTTGTTATCATATCAGTGTCTACAGAATGTACGGTACATACTATAGAGTTTTATTTAGCAATTGATTAACTCCTCTTTCCTAATTACCAATGTATTCTGAAATAGGATGACCTTAAGCTTTTGGCACAATGTCTATCCAAAATGTAAAGTTTAAAGCGATCAATGTACCTCATAGTAACGTCGAAAATGTGCAATATCACCCAATATTCCAGGATTAGTAAAGTTAACCATTGCGAAGAATTCTTCTAAGTCATTCTGCAAGTGGCATTTGTCCATAATAAATAAATGAGGATTAGGAATGTAACTCACAAGACAAACAGATAATCGTGCATAGATCCTCACTTGCAAAGGAGTTCCTGACAACAAAATTCTACGTTTGCATGGAAGAGCAGCCAATGCCTAATCCAGGAAGTATTTGTGAGAAACACAGAACCATGGCAACCGATAGGAACTGTCTAACTGAGAAACATGCATGTAAAGGAGGGGGGGAAAGAATTTGTAGAATACCTTGTTTGTTATTGTCTGGTCATTTTTCAGTCTGTGAGCCTCATCACATATGAGAAGGTCACACGAGTCACTAGAGCTAAACTTTGATGAATGCATTCGGAATGTCTCATATGAAACAATGAGCACCTGTAATTAGGAAATATTATCTGAGAGCATATGTAGTTCAAGCTATCCAACAAATAGAAGAATGGTGGGAAATTTCACCTGTAAAGTGCTGTGGGGACTTGTAAAATTCTCAATCGCAGAGACAACATCTTCTCTTGTGCTTTCACATAGAGCAACAAGATGAACTCTTTCTCCAACCCACTTGTGGATTTCAGCTTCCCAATTGCTGACAAGGCTGGTCGGAGTCACAATGATGGCCTTCCTAACCATTGGCTTCCCATCAAACCCTTGAAAAATAAGAGTATATAGTAATGCGATCGACTGCAATGTCTTCCCCAAACTGTGCAATAAAAGTAGTATCAAAGGCAGCGCTATAATGAAAAAAACTGGGAAGAAAGAAAAAATGTATCGTCATAAAGTAAAGATTTCAAAAGAAAGAAGCTAAGAAGAACTTACCCCATATCATCTGCCAAAATGCATCCATGTATATTTGGTGTACTACATAGCCCTGAGACACAATCAAACATAAACTGAACCCCTTCTCTGCATCAAAGGAGTTAAAAGAAATACTTATTTGCCAGATTGAAGAAAGGCGATATGTATAAATCATGAAATGATTTGATACTGAGGTAAAAGCATAGGCACAAAAGTAAAGATAAAGTATCCAAATCCAATAGTGACATAAGCAGAAACACCTCTGATGTGGACGAAGGAAACGAACAAGCAAAGGGTCAACTGTTATCGTTGTCAAACTAGAAGCCTCATCCTCAGGGTGCCACAATACTAGAGGATCAACCCCAGGGGGCAAAGATGGTTTCTCCTCCTCAGCAACATCAACATGGCTTATAGTTATTGGCGGCACATTCAAGTTCAACTCAGCCACAACCACTGGTGTAGGTGTAGTAGAGCCCCACGGGACAAACCTTTTGCGAGCGGAAAGCCTACGAGTAAGGTCTTGATTGTAACCATTAGATTTATAGCATGGAGGCTTAAAGGGTTTTCTACAAACAGCCGCTCCTGAAACTGATAGAACTCGCGGTAGCAACGATTGTCTCTTCACGATCAGGTTCCCCCTATAATTATTATTCCAATTTTAATAACGATTTCATAATTACAATTGCTAAATGCTAATAGAATAGAAACATTCGAAATACCTCAGGAGAGCTTCCACATTCTGCGATTTGCGTTCTTCGTCCAGCGGAGAGGAAGATTGTTCAATATCATAGTCACTGTCCCCGGAATCAAAAGATTTTTCAATATCATCGTCACCGGGATCAGAAGAGCACGACACCACTTCATCTTCCTCTTCCTCCATCCTCATTCTCTCACTCATACTCCTCAAATTCAAGTTTCAATCTCTCTCTCTCTCTACCGCCAATTCCTTTTTCGCTGTAAAATTTTAATATCATAACTATTTTTATTTTATTTTTAAAATAACAACGTGTCCGCCAATTCCTTTTTCTCATAACAATTTTTATTTTATTTTTTAAAATAACAACGGTGTCCAAAGTTTCAATGGATATAAGAATTTAATGTTTCTAACGTGACTTTAGATAAATTATTTATATTTATTCTTAAAAAGATATTATTTTGTGTTAAAAATTAAAAAATTATAATGATAAACACTATTATAATCTTAAAATAAATTAAAATTATAAAATATCTTAATTTTCGTCCCAAAATAATATCGTTTTTAGTTTAGTATAAATACTTTATTTACAATCATTGCAGAAAAATAAACCCTATAATGAATCTATATAATACAATTTAGGGTTGGAATTTTGGGTTTGGGTTTTTTCACTTGCAATTATTTTTTAGAAAATTATTTTTTTAGAAAAAAAAAGTAATGTTTTTTAGAAAGAAAAAAAAACTATCGAAACATCTTCCAAAAGCAGGGAGCGGATCCTCTCATATATTATTTAATATGACCATTTCATATGGAAGAATTATAATCATACAAAAGTAAATCAATTATGATTAAAGGAAGTGAGAGAAAAATATTATGATTAGATAATTATAAAATTATCACCGTTGATTTATCTTTGTATGATTAAGATTCTTCCATACAAAACAATGATGATAAATAAAACATGCAAAAGTGAGTTTGCTTTTTTCCAACTTTGAGGAACAAAGCACCGAGTTTTCATGCATTTTCATATGTGACATAAGACAAAAAACGTTTGTCCTTTTAAAGAATATAAATTTGTGTTATTCAAAAAAAAAAAGAATATAACTTTGTGTTATTTTAGATGAAATGACGTTTTCTTTTTTGCGTAATTAGTGAATAATTATATTCTTTATCATCCACTTTCACTCTCTTCCTAATTTTATGGAGAAGAGAAAATATAAAAAATTACTAATTATGCAAATAAGCGACATTATTTCATCTTAAATGACACAAAATTATATTCTTTAAAAGTATAAATGTTTTTCTTGTGACATCATGTGTTTTATATTACAAGACAATATAGAATAATGAATTTTTTTGTTAATTTTTTTATTTTGAAAAAACACAAAAGGGTACGTAATAATTAGATTAGATTACAAATATAATTTAAGGAAATAATTATTATAAATAAAAGAGATTATATTTATAACCTATTTTTTTTTACAATTTCTTATAATTATTTTTTAGTTTTGAGTTAACGGAAAAAAACATAAGGCAAAAATCAAGTATTTTTTTTAAGAAATCAACTTTATCTTAATTTCACTCCAACTACTCTACCCTAATCTAACTACTCCACTCCTTTACCACCACTACTGTCATATATCCTTTTTGATAATTTTATATATAAAAAGTGCTAATTATTTTTAGGGATAAAATATTATATCTATCTTTTTCGTATCTACTATATTTATTCATTTTCAGCACCGTTGGATCGAAATCTCAAGAGGAAAGAGAGATTGTGAAAGTTAGTTGAGATTTTTATCTAAGGGTGTTGAAGATGAGAGTAGATAAAGTAGACATAAAAAAGTATAGGTAGAATATCATATCCCTTATTTTTAACATCCAAATAACTTTTTTATTTAAAAGTAATTTTTTTGTATTCCATCCAAACTTTAAATAACTTTAACTTTAAAAAAAATTATTTAAGAAAAAAGGAAACTATAAAAAAGTTATAAAACTAAAAGAGAAAGTAGAGAAATGTTATAAAACTTATAGAGAAAAGAGGAAATATGAAATAAAGTGAGAGAGTAGGAGAATAACAACAATTCTTGTTATTGTCTTTTTCATAGAGTACATGTCTTTATATAGGACTCCAAGAATGAATATGGAGACTGATTACACATCAATGCATCATTATACTTATATTTATATGGTTACAATTTATATCAAAGGTCATGGCAAGCAAAAGATCACTTTCTTGAATCTCAATAGTCATCCACATATGAAAATCATGTTTTACAACACTTCCCCTTAGATGACTACACATTATGAATATGTCTCATTAAAATCTTGTTAAGAAAAATCTTATGGGATAAAAACTTAGCGAAGGAAAAAGAGTACATTATTCATAATTGATTTACTTCCCGTGATATCAACGAATATTACTCTGATGACATGGACCAATCTTGTGTACAAGTTGCTCAAAAGATTTAATAGGCAATAACTTTGTGAATAGATATGCAAGATTTTCATTTAATCAAATCTTATAGACATCTATCTCACTATTCCTTTGAAGATCGTGTGTGAAAAAAAAAACTTTGGCAAAATGTGCTTAGTTCTATCTCTTTTGATGTAACCTTCTCTTATTTGAGCAATACATGCAACATTATCTTCGTAATGTAACGTTGGTTTTCCCTTGATCAATTCTAGGTTGCATGCTTCTTATATATGTTGAATCATTGATCTTAGCTATACACATTCTCGACCAGCTTCATATAGTGCAATTAATTTTGCATGGTTTGAAAAGGTCACTATCAAAGCCTACTTCGTTGATCGCCAGAAAATTGCAGTACCACCATATGTGAATAACTATCCTGTTTGTGATCGTGCTTTATGTGGGTCTGATAAATATTCAGCATTTGCATACCCAACTAACTCAGGCTTTGAATTCTTTTTATAAAATAATCTCATATGATGTGTTTCGCGAAGATAACGAAATATATGTTTTATTCCATTCCAATGCCTTCGCATTGGAGTAGCGTTGCACCTTGCTAGCACATTTATAAGGAAAGCTATATCAGATCGTGTGTTATTAGCAAGGTACATTAAAGCCCCAATTGCACTTAGATATGGTACTTCAGGACCAAGGACTTCTTTATCATTTTCTCGAGGGTGAAAAGGAAATTTCTCAATGTTGAGAGATCGAAGACCAATGGTGAACTCAATTGATGAGCTTGAATCACATCTTTCCATTGTGGCCAATCTTTTCTATGTCGACACTCCTCAATAGTTTTTGGCTCACAATTCTTTTCATTAATTACATCAATTGCTATAGCATATGCAAATATGTCATCAACAACCGTTTCATTCATGTTCCATCTTTCACCATTTGCGATATAATTAATTGAGATCTTATCAACATTTTCAGTTACCTGATCTTCTTCCAGAGTATCAATATCATCATTATTATCTATTTTCGTTGTTCCATTACCTCTTCAGGGGTATAGACAATTATTTTATCACCAATTAATTTACTCGGTTCTCTTTTTTCCTTGGGTTTGTATCTTTAGACCCAATTGGTCTTCCACGTTTGCGACGAATATTAGACTTATTTGATATTGCTATAGTGTATTTATGAATGTCAATTCGAGCAAGTGCATTTAAAGTTGGTATATGTGTTTGTGTTATCCTTTTTGTATCAGTAAATGCATTTGGCAGTTCATTTGCAATTCATTGCAGGTGGATAATCTTTTGAACTTCTTGCTCACATTGACTAGTATGTGGGTCAAGATAAGATATTGATGATGTATTCTAAGTTATTTATTGATTTTCTTGCTTTTGTTTTTCCCCACCTAAGATTGAAAATAATGTCTCATCAAATTGACAATCAGCAAAACGTGTTGTAAAACTATCACCAGTTAATAGTTCTAAATATTTAATAATTGATGGAGATTCAAAACCAACATAAATTCCCAATCTTTTTTGTGGCCCCATCTTTGTTCTTTATGGCTGGGCGATTGAAACATAAACAGCACAACAAAAAAATTTAGATGAGATAAGTTTAGTTCTAAACCAGAAACAAGTTGTAATGGGGAATATTTATGATAAGCAGTTGGCCTTAATCTGATAAGTGCAACATCATGTAAAATGGCATAACCCCAAGCCGAAGATGATAATCTAGATTTCATGAGTAATAGTCTAGCAATTAACTGTAATCTCTTAATAAAAGATTCTGCTAGACCATTTTGTGTATGAACATGAGCGACTAGAAGTTCAATTATAATCTCATTTGACATACAATAATCATTAAATATTTGGGATGTAAATTCTCTAGCATTATAAAGCCGTATTTTCTTAATAGTATAATTTGGAAATTGAGTTTTTAATTTAATTATGTGTGCAAGATGTCTAGCAAAGGCAACATTGTATGTTGACAAAAGACATACATGAGACCATTGAGTTGAAGCATCTACTAGCACCATAAAATATTTAAATGATCCACAAGTTCGAGTGATAGGTCCACAAATATCTCCTTGAATTCGTTCTAGAAAAAGAGTTTCATTTTTAATTTTATTCTTGTAAGGCCTAGTAATCATTTTTCCAAGAGAGCAAGCTGCACATGTACAAACTTTTGATAATAGAATCTTTAGGTTCTTTAACGGATGCCCATATGAATTCTCAATAATTATTCTCATCATTATGGCACCCGGATGACCCAATCTCTCATGCTAAAGGGTAAATATTTTTGGGTCAACTAACTTCTGATTAGTAACAATATATGTTTCAATTGAATTAATATATGTATTATATAATCCAGAAAAGAAATCTTGCATTTTTTTCAACACAATTTTGTGCCCAGATTCAAAAAATATAATGCACAAATATTTAATATTATTTTGACTCATAATTTCAACATAATAACTATTACGGTGTATGTCTTTAAAACTTAATAGATTTCTTCTGGATATAGTAAAATGCAAAGCATCCCTTAATAATAATTTTGTTCCTCAGGTAACACAATATAAGCTCTTCCAAGCCTTCAATTAAGTTTACAATACCAGAAATTGTGCTAACATTTGTCTTAGCCAATTGTAGTTAAGAAAAATATTTTATATTTTCTTCAAAAAATAAATTGTATAAATGAGTAATCATACAAAAAAATTAAAATTAAAATTTATTTGCCTTATTGTATTGTATTTTATTTTATTTCATTTTTCAGAATAAAGACATGTAACAAAGTTTGAAGGACAAAATAAATAATTTCCAAAAGAAAATATCATAAAATGAAAATTTCTATTACATAATTAAAACTTAAATTTGACATGATAATTATTAACAAAAAAAAATTGACATGATAAAGACAAAATAAAAGATAACAATAACGGAAAGAAATGTAAAATGAATTTCTTAATAAATAACTAAACATTGAAGTGGACATTTCCATCATCAAGAAAACTATTAATATTCTGGAAGAAATTTGAAACATCCAGGTGCATGTCCTTGTCTAATTTTGGATCATTTCCATCTATGAAATTTGTTTATGCACTTTTTCCCTTTTCCTTCAATGCTGCTTGGTAAAGATCAGCTAAGTATTTAGGGGTACGATAGATATGTGACCAATGGTTGGTCATGTCACATCTATAACAAGCAGTTTTAGATTTTTTTTTTAGAATTGTTGTGGCAAATGTTTTCCCTTTGCATATTTTCCTTCATTACTTGAGTTGGCTTTATAGTCATGACCACCACGATGCCAAACATTATTACGCCCATGCCCGTGTCCAAGCCCATGGTAGTGGCTATGCCTACGACCACGTCCACTGTTATGAGATGATGTTGTATTCACTTCTGGAAATGGTGATATTGCATTCACTTCAGAGAATGCCATAAAACCTGTGGTCGTGATTGATAATTTATCATCGAAATCTCATTATTTTGTTTAGCAACAAGAAGACAATATATTAACTCATAATATTTTTTGAAACCGCGCTCTCGATATTGCTGCTTCAGAGCATATTCGAGGCATGAAAAATAGAGAATGTCTTCTCTAAAATACCTTCATCAGTCATCTTTTCTTTTCATAATTTTAATTTAGAATTAATGCAAATTATACTCAATTACACTTTTAAAATCTTTTAATCGTAAGTGAATCCACTCATAGCGGACTTTTGGCAAAATTACTTGTTTTTTGTAGTCAAACCTTTCTGCTAAATTTTGCCACAATTCTAATGTATCTTTTGTTGTTAAGTATTCAGTTTTAAGATCTTTATTGAGATGATGGCGGAGAAAAAATATTGCTTTGGCATGCTCTTGCTGGGTGACCTTATTTCCTCCCTTGATTGTTTCTCCAAGTTTGCAATAAAATGGATTTCAGCATCAATAGTCCATGGAAGATAGTTCTTGCCCGATATATCCAGAGCGAATTCAAGTTTGGTAAGGCTTGCCATTATAATTTCTACAATAATAGATATTAGTTCATAGACGAATAATCAAATGGAATGCAAAAATAAGAATATAACTTAGAAGGATGAAATACCTATGTAGAGATGTAGCCTTTATGAGTTGGTTGTTGTAGAGACAAACTCGTCCTGATAACGTGTTATAAAACATAAAGAGAAAGTATAAAAATGTTATAAAACTTAGAGAGAAAATAGGGAATATGAAATAAAGAGTAAAAGTAGGAAAATATCACCAATTCTTGTTATTGTCTTTTTCATAGAGTATATGCCTAATTACTCATCAATGCACCATTATGCTTATATGGTTACAATTCATACCAAAGGTTATGGCAAGCAAAAGGTCACATTCTTGAATCTCAGTAGCCATCCACATGTGAAAATCATGTTTTACATCAAAAGGCCTTTTTTTAAGACCATCCATATGGGCTCTAACATTATTTTTTATGGTTACTGCTATTCGAATCAATTTTTTTCTATTTTTAATAAGAGTATTAACTTCTTTATGCTCGGACATTTGACCGTTTTCCTCATTTAAATAATATTCAAAATATTAAATTCTTTCTCCAATTATAATTAAATATCATTTTAAACTAGTTGAGGAGTTTTAAAGTAAATAAATGAAAATGAAATTATTTTATTTTATCAACATCAACATCGATAACGCTTTTATCCCAAACTAGTAAGGATGGACAAATCCAAATAAAAAGCAAGAAATGATTAAAGGAGAAATATGGAAAAAATAAATAAATAAAAATAAGATTAGAAATAAATAAAAAATGAAAAGAAAAATAAATAAAATAAAATAAAAATAAAGATGGCTAAGAAAAAAAGCAAAGATAAATAGTAAAAATAAGAATAGCTAAATAAAATAAAAAAATAAAATACAGAGGAAAATAATTTTATAAATAAATGAAGAAAAATATTGGCAAAAATGATTAAACATGATTGTCTGAAACATTTAAAAAATGAGTCTATCCTTCCATAGTGCAAATAGTTTTCTTTCAATCCATCTTGAGACACATCATTTGAGAATCTAATTCTCACTTCATTTTACTATTTTTCCTTGAGTGAATTTTGGTTGATCCATTTCTCTCTTTGTGTCAAGCTCTTAGTAACAAGCTTTTGTTCTTGAGACCATTTGAGGGTCTTTGCATTACATGTCGAAATCATCTAAATTTATATTCTCTCATCTTTTCAGGCACCAGTATTATTCCTATCTTTTGTCGAATATTATCATTTCTTATCTTATCTATTCTTGTATGACTACATGTCCACCATAGCATCATCGTTTCTGCTACTTCCATTTTATACTCATGTTACTTATGTGTCGGCCAACATTCAATTATGTGTAACATTGTAGGCTTTATAGTTGCTCTATAAAACTTTTCTTTTAGCCTTTAAAGGAATTGTGCGATGACACAATAACTTCGATTCACTATGTTATTTCATCCAATTTGCTTTGGTTCTATGATTTACATCATCATCAATCTCTCCATCCTTTTGCAAAATAGATCCCAAATACCTTATATCATCTTTCTTGAGTACCTTCTATTCAAGCAAATGCATGAAATCTTGATCTCTATATCTTGCGAGAACATTTCATATACTTAATCTTACACTGAGTTAGCACAAATCCTTTAGAGTTTAATATGTTTCTCCACCATTCTAATTTTTTTATTAGCACCCACCTTAATCTGATAATAAACACAATATCATCAAGCATAATCTTTGTTTCTGCATATAATAACTTTTTCGTGCCAATTCTTTAAATCCTTAGAATGATGAAACCCCAAGAATACCGGAGCAAGTGTATTTTGAACTTATGTATTACCCGCTATCCTATCCTTCTTAAAAGCTGGACTTACAATGCTATAGTTAAGGGGTCTGCCCAACGATTTCCACAGATGATAGATTCAGACTAGCCTGGTTTTGCTAGGTTAATTGTTCTAGTTTCGTTCTGATGATATTGACATCTATCCATTGAAAAGAAAGGAGGAAAACAATGAGAATAAAAAAGATCCTTAACAGTGCCAATGCGTGTATTGTCGCCAATAAAATTTGAAAAAAGAAATGGGAAGAAACTAAAGAAAGTATTTTTAATCAGTATTTATTCATTCTAACAGTGTGATCTTAATGATACAACACCGAAGGCTAAAGGCATTCAAATATGCTTGAGGGAGTGAGTCATCATGGCCATGAACTCGTCCATATCAACCATGCCATCTCCATCAGTGTCCACTGCTCTGACCATTCGCCTGCAATCCTCAAGGGTGCACCTTTCTCCCAGGCTCATTAGCATTTCTAGAACTTCTTGTGCACTTATTTTCCCATCGCCATTCTTATCAAATGTCCTAAATGCACTTTGGATATCCCCACTCCTAATCCCATCACCTTTGTTCTGGGCATCCATAAATTCTTGGAAATTGATAAATCCATCTTCATCCAAATCAACCACCCGGAAAATATTTGGCACTTCATGAATCATGTTCCCCATGCCTAGAGATTTCAGGGTGGCTTTGTACTCCTGCTGAGAAATTTTCCCATCTTTATTGGAATCAAATTTGTTAAACACCTGCTTCATCTCATCAACGTTTGGCTGGAAAACATGTTTGGACCCCGAGTTCAGCCTGTCCCGTGAGAACAGAAGGGTTGGCTTCCTCAGGTACTTTGTCTTTGAGAGGTTGTATTTGAAGTCAAGGAAACTAGTATTTGGCAATGGCATGGTGGATTTGCCTGAAATATATGAACAACGCCTTCTTTTTTATATTATTAGATGGAAAGTGGTGACTTTTCATTGTCAAATCTTAGCCTCTCAGTTATTCCTAACAACTTGTAGATCACCATAAAACTAAAGATGCTGCTAGTAACAAAAGAAAAGGAGGATGGGCAAGGAATAAGTGTTAGAAGAATAATTAAGCACACGTCATGTCATATGTCGTAGAAAACAAGTGTCTCTACTCTCTATAATCGCATGAATATTTGACTGACAGCTGTGGAGGAATATAACTCATCCGGTATAAATTCCCCCATCAAGTATACATTTACATTTACATGAATATTTCACTTTCAGTACAAATCCTAATTCCTATCTCCTTAACAGAACAAAATTGGTTACCTTCGTGATTGGCCATGGCAAAGCCATCTCCAAGGGGTGCTGGCGCAGAAGCTTCTACCTAGTGAACCAAAAAGCCAAGAGTGTTGATTGGCTCAAAAACAAGAAAATACGCAGGTTGGCCTGTTCCAGTAGAGCTCAGAACTACATTCTATTTCTACCCATTCCCACACAGGCTTGGGTGCATATTAATAGGCCGTCATGTTAAATTTGCAAACAAATGAATAAATAAATCTTATCATTAATTGTGCTTCCGGTTAAAAAATAAAATAAAAAAAATACTAAATCCAAACTTGAAATTGTTTAATTGAACAAAAGACTTATTCCGAACCGGCCAAAATTCCTAGTTTTAGCTGCCTAAAAAGCAGTGTGCTCAAATTTTGGTCTTTATAGAGTGTCTCCAAACCTGTTTTAAGCGAAACAAACTGAATCAAACATAATAATCCATCATTCTATATACTACAAATCAAGTAGTGATAATAATCTATATCACCGTCTCAGCAGGCACCAGTGTTAAGTTTTATAATTAAATGAATAAAATTCAAGTGTTCAAAGCTATAATAAATGACATATAATTATCCATTGCGACAATATACGTAAAGCTCCTTTATATAGCTAACTAACCAATGTCACTTGTTTACTATTTTTATTTTATTTTGATTATTTTCCCTCCAAATACTGACTATAGAGAGAAGTCCTGTGTTCTTAAGAAAAAGGAAGGTCATCAAGTTTCAGATGGAGCCAGCTGAACACCAAATTGGCAGACGAACGTTCTGTTCGGCCAGGAAATTCTCACCCGGCCCAGAGGGTAGAGGTTCTCCCTTTCATGTAGGTAAGGCTTTTGTTTTGCAAATGGGGCACATGTTCTTCTGCATTAGCCACTGCTTGATGCAGTTCATGTGGAATTCATGTCCACAATCTAGTGAACCAACATCCTCTCCATCAGTATATTCCTCCTGCTCGGAGAGCAAGATAAAATGCAGTTAGCATCAAGCTCACCAAGTAAAAAGCACCATTGTAGTTGATTTTGTGTCCTTTCTTTACTGTTAATAGCAGAGACAGCCTCGACTAGAACCTGACAGATACAGCAAGGTTCCAGATCTGTAGAAGATTCTATCATGATAGATACATAGATTTGCTGTTTCATCAACTTTATAATGATATCCTCACTCTATCCGGTGCTCACATATCCTATATGCTCCACCAATGCCAGCAGTTCCTAAAATCACAAATGAAGTCAGAAGAAATAACATAAAGCAACATTGCTGATGAATAGGAATACAATATATCCTCTTTCTACCTCATAACTCATAAGACATGTTATCTGCATCAAGGCACATGTCTCCGTGCCTGTCATGCTTTTCAGCCAAACCATGATATATAAAAGGGTCAAAGACCATATAATCCTGACATAGCACGGGAGTCAAAGCAAACTTCTTAAGTTAGCATTCTCTACAATCCATTTCAACTAGAAGTGATATTGCTCGCATGTAGCGCAATCCTAGATTGAGTCCACATATGTAATTAAGACAGTAGGGTCACTTTATATAACATTGTCTGTATCCAATCAAAATTTCAAAGATTTCAAACCATTGCTTTCATGTGCAGTCCTTTCATGGGACTGGTTAAATAATTTCTAGTATAGTTTATCTTTCACACTAACCACAAGACTGAAAGTACTATGCATTAGGCAAGCAGTAAAAAACTAATTACCCATACGAAATCCAAGAAAACATTAACTTGATCTAAACATTGGATTCACTCCCTTCATGCTCAGCAAAAAAACGCCTTAAGAGAGGACTACAGCTTTAACTCACAACAGACAATGTATGCATATAAACCCATCAATAATTCAAAAAATTCCATCCTTGGATGACTTTCACATAAAGATGAAAGGGATATAAGGAAAAATAACATTGTGCACATTGAAACACCTTCAAGTTTGATCAAACAATGACTAAATTGATTTCACAACACAACGTATGACTGCCAATTTGCCATAAACTGTATAGAGACAAGTTTATACACTAAAACTTGAACCTCAGCTCACAAGTTCTCACCCCACCGCATAGCATTCAAGACTTGGCGAATCTGGAACACATAAAAATTAACTATTTCAAGTGGCAACACTGTGAAACCAAATTTTGGCTAACTTGTTGATCAGATTTATAGAAACAGTTGTTGATTGGCTGCAACATATAACTAATTCTACTGGGAAGGAAAATAAAACTATGACAAGACTAGACAGCAAACAGAAATCAGATGAAAAAAAATCAAGAATAGAAGTACTGCAAATTTGTATTATATATTCACTAATACATGTTTCCTGTTGTATAAATTCCAAAATCCTGGCTATATGAATAAAATTAATAAGAAAATTGTCATAAGTTTAGCATTAAAGTAACAGTTGAAGATATTCTGTAGAATGGAAAACAAAATAGAAATAATACCTCAGATATTAATTGGCATCTCCCCTCGATGCCAACAACTACAGCTCATAACAAATGAGGAGGAGAGGGAACATCATTGCCCCTTCTCTCCATCAACAATGCTGATCTTGGATATGCTTGATTGTTCATATACCCTGAGCCAAGGCGGGAGGGCCAGTAGGCGATGAAGTAGAATGCCCGTTATGAACACCAGATATTGAGCTAACTGAAGGAAAAATGGACCAAGGACTGAATTCTGATAATCTTTGCAGATTCTGTGTTGGGATTCATGGCTAACAATCCAGGCGGGATAAGGCAGAGTGAACATTTGAACTAGATCCAATCCAAGATGTAGGAGGTACAACTCCAGAATTGTTCATGTTACTGGAAAACATATGCCAAGCTGCAGGGTAATGTTCTGAAGATACAGGCACAAGCATGGGGTGCTCGATACTGTCTCTTGGTTCTTGTACTGCTCTTTCTCCAGAGTAATCAGTTGAAGGTCCCTCTAGAACTTGCAGCTCCATTTCAAGGAAACAGATGCACGTGGAAGGCAGGTGACTGGTTCTGAGCAGTACTAGAAATTGCAGCTGTTAACCTCAGATCCATAGAATCATTAAATGAGTGAGAGCCCGGTATTTGGTGGGGAGAAGAATGATTAGGACACCTAGCACTCCCTGTTTGTGGTAAATTGAGTGGTAGAGATTCCTGACGCGTACATGGGTTATTCTCCTATCAAAGTTTCTTAGAAGCCTTTCCACATTTCTCACAACACTTATCAAAGGGAATGTTTCAGAAGTTGCAAGCCTCACCTCGTTTCTTGAGTTCTTTTGAAACGGAGAACAAGTAACAGGAACATCCTCTGAATATGCAGAAACCCTTAAGCTGCTGGAAGAATTAAGATCAGCAGGAACGGCAGACCAGCAACCATTTTCAGATTCTACAACAGAGCTTGAGCTTCCTGAAGTAGACAGTTTCCCAGAACGCATCATCTTCCCAAACCTCGCAATCAGAGCTTCCAGATGAAGTTCCTATGTGAGCACTACCAAATGAATTTTGCGCTATATCTAATCCGCTAGTACTGTGGATACTAACACTACTAGCAGCCTACGTGGCCTTCCCCACACTAGCAGTTACATTCTGGGTTATATGATTAGAGCTGGAACCTTGCAAAATGAGAGGCTGAATTCTAGATTGACTTCCATGTAGATTAGTGTTTGAATTAACTGGAAAAAGAACATTATTTGGTTCAAATTGCCTTTCATCTGGAGTCAGACCATCCTCAACAACTGCAATACATGAAGAAGACAGCCCATGTTCCGGTTTTAGCCCATCATCATCGACTTGATCAGATTCAGTCTAGAACTAGGTTCACCAGTACTCCAGCCACTGAAGCTCAGAACATCAGGACCAGCAGCATGTAAACTTGCAGTTGCAGCCTCCCCAGAAGACCCCAGATAATCAAGCAACCGTAAATCTACTGCATTTTGGACGTGATTCAGGGAAGAGTGCTGATTCACATCAGTGCCACTAGAACTAGGCCCCTGCAGGCTGCATCATACTAACAATTGGAAGAAAGGACCCAATACTCCTTGATTGACCTTGCATAAGAATCAAAATATTCCCCCTAAATTTATCACCAGAAAACTTAGATCGGGTTCTCAAATCTCAAGCTACACATAACATTGAGCACAAAAAAATAAACAAAAAATTCATAGTTTTGCCATAGACACGTAAACAAACGAGGATGAGTGAAGAAAAAAAAAAAAAAAAAAGTTTTGCTGGAAGCTTAAAGCTGCCCACTTAAACAGACAAAACTAACCCCAAAAAGTCAAGTGGGCATGCTAATTTTCTTGGACCAACAATATGTGATTCAATGCATTCAAGAAAATAAAGAAAACAAATTTTTTTTCCAGGCAGATTGCTATGCAGAAAACCTCGCTAGTTTTTGTAAGAATATTGCTTACTGAATATTTTCCTGACAAATTTTATACCACAAATACTGAACAAAAAGTCAAAGTTTTCAATGCCCAATCCAGAATTCCCAGGCTTTTTAGGCTGCGAAATTAAAATTAGAAGGAAAATAGAATGCCTTCCAGTCCATTATATCTTTTAAAGGAGGAAGGAACGAAGCAAGGAAAAAAAAAAACCCCTAATCGACGTGATCCTCCATCCTCCCTCTCCTCTACTTCCTTCAACCCCATCTTCATCTTCTTCGCCCCCAAAATGGTCCTGTAAAGCCTGCACTTTCTTGAACCCTTACAACAACTCCACTTGCGAGGTCTGTGACACTCGATGCCCCGTTCCGTCACTTTCCAACTTGGACGATTTCAATGACGTCGACCACGATTCTTCGGTTGGCTCTGTTTTCTTCCCTCTTCGATCATGCAAGAGAAAAGCCATCGACCCCATTCACGTTGTTGATGACGATTCTGCTGAAGCACCAGAGGTAAAGGCATAAGAGAACATTGATTCAGGAAAAGCTGCTGATGGTGATTCTTCGTCTACTTCTCACGCCAATGCTGTGTATGAAGGTACTCTCGGTAACTCTCTTGCTCTCCCCGCTCACTCTAGGAATTTATCTTGGATAATTGATTCTGGAGCG